GCTGGAGACCTACTCGTATTCAAATTCCCCACCTGGCAGTGGTTAGGGTTTAGGGTTTAGGGTTTAGGGTCTAGGGTTTAGGGTCTAGGGTTTAGGGTTTAGGGTCCCCCCAGGAGTTTATCGATGCTGGAGACCTACTCGTATTCAAATTCCCCACCTGGCAGTGGTTAGATACGAGGGTTTAGGGTTTAGGGGTTAGGGGTTAGGGTTTAGGGTTTAGGGTTTGGAGTTTAGGGTTTAGGGTTTAGGGTTTAGAGTTTAGGGTTTAGGGTTTAGGGTTTAGGGTTTATGACGAGGATTGACGGTTTAGGTCGGGGGGTTAAGGTTGTTAGAGTTTAGAGTACAAAGGGTATACAGGGTTTATAGGGTATAGAGGATAGATAGGGTTTAGGGTTTAGGGTTTAGGGTTTAGGGTTTAGGGTTTGGGGTGTATGTACACCTCAGGGAGCCAGCAGTGGGCAAGAGAGTGAACAGCTGGCTGCCGCCAGATAAACAATTTCTCGTAACGAGGGGCGTGGCTTGTCACAGAAGAGTTCGAGACATCGAGGCTTCGCTCAATGCTGAGGTATCTAGGGTTTAGGGTTTAGGGTTTAGGGTTTAGGGTTTTGAGGTTTTTAAGGGGTGAGAAAGTAGTATGAGGGTTTGAAGGAAGAAAATGGCTGTGGAGGGGATCAAAGAGCACAAAACCTAAGAAAAATATCTAGGGTTTAGGGTTTAGGGTTTAGGGTTTAGGGTTTAGGGTTTAGGGTTTGCGTGCTGTAGGCCAGAGAGGATGCTGAGGGTTGGGTGCTGCCTATAGACGCAGACCCTGAGGAGCTGCAGAGCGAGCCGGCGGTTTCTTTGGGGGGTTCAACAGAGAGGCAAACCTCTCGCGATGTCTCAGCAGGTTAGGGTTTAGGGTTTAGGGTTTAGGGTTTAGGGTTTAGGGTTTGGGGGTTTTAACGCGCAGCTTCCAGGGTTTAGGGTTTAGGGTTTAGGGTTTTTAGCACGCAGCTTCAAGGGTTTAGGGTTTAGGGTTTAGGTGCTGTTGCGCCGCAGGCGATGGCATTGCTTTGCTCCCGGAGACGGCGGTAAGAGTGGCTCGATGAGGGTTTACGAGGGTTTAGGGTTTAGGGTTTAGCGAGGAAGGCTTAGAGGTCTGATGCTGAGGGTTTAGGGTTTAGGGTTTAGGGTTTAGGGTTTAGGATGAGGGTTTGAGCGTGCAGGGTGGCGCCTTGCCTGACCTGAAGAATCTTCGTGACCTGGATAGTCTCCTCTGCGAGGTGAGAGTAAACCCTAAACCCTAAACCCTAAACCCTCAATCGGTGCTCTTAGCGCCGTAAACCCTAAACCCTAAACCCTAAACCATCGTCAACCGCATCAGTCTATTTTGCCCCCCAAAGAGAATCGTAGAAAGTGAGGAGAGAGAGGGTTTGGTTGTTTGAAATAGAGAAGTGTATAATCTCAGGGTTAGTAGCATCGAGGGTTTAGGGTTTAGGGTTTAGGGTTTAGGGTTTTTGGGTGCAGGATGACCCGGCGTGTGCGGAGTCTTCGACATCCTATTTTGTTCGTCAAGCCCCCGATGCTGGTACGAGAAGAAAGGGTTTACTCTGCAAGAATTAGGGTTTAGGGTTTAGGGTTTAGGATCTAGGGTTTAGGGTTTAGGGTTTAGGGTTTAGGGTTTGTGTGTGTGAGGCAGATGTGCTGAGCGTGCGGACTTACGATCTGAGCATTACCTACGACAAGTACTTTCAAACGCCGCGGCTTTGGCTGTTTGGATATAATGAGGTAATGAGGGTTTAGGGTTTAGGGTTTAGGGTTTAGGGTTTAGGGTTTAGGGTTTATAGAGATCAGGGTTTAGGGTTTATGGTGTACAGAGAAAATATTTAATTGCTTAAAAGTGCACACAAACCCTAAACCCTAAACCCTAAACCCTAAACCCGACACAGAAAGCCCCCAAAATATCTACTCACTCAGAATTTAAAATTTAGGGTTTAGGGTTTAGGGTTTAGGGTTTAGGGTTTAGGGTTTAGGGTTTGTGTGCAGAGCGGTACCCCGCTAACCCCCGCGGAGATATTCGAAGATATTTTAACAGATTATGCAGCAAAGACCGTCACTGTTGACCCTCACCCCTGTACTGGGGTCCCCACAGCATCTATTCATCCTTGCAAGTGAGGGTTTAGGGTTTAAGGTTTAGGGTTTAGGGTTTAGGGTTTACGGGGTGGAAGGGGAGGTGTTGATGAGGGGGGTTGGTTATGCGAGAGAATCGAGGGTTTAGGGTTTAGGGTTTAGGGTTTAGGGTTTAGGGTTTAGGATGAGAGCACTATAAGCCACCAAAAAGATGGAAGGTATAGTAAAGCATGGGTTTAGTATATTAGGGTTTAGAGTCTAGGGTTTAGGGTTTAGGGTTTAGGGTTTAGGGTTTAGGGTTTGTGTGGGGTTTAGGCATGCTCAAGTGATGAAGAAGGTAGTGGACCACTGGCGCTCGCAAGGCGTCGAGCCCAGGTGAGATACACTTCTCTATTTTTTTTTTTTTTTTTTTTTTTTTTTTTTTTTTTTTTTTTTTTTTTTTTTTTTTTTTTTTTTTTTNTTTTTTTTTTTTTTTTTTTTTTGTTTTTCTGTTTTCTTGTTTTTTGTTTGTTTGTTTATTGTTTTTTGTTTGTTTATTGTTTTTTGTTTGTTTATTGTTTTGTTGTGTACTGTTTTGTTTTTTATTGTTTCTTTGTTTTTTGTTTTTTTGTTTATTGTTTTATCTACACAGCAGTGTACATACACCTCAACATACACCCAAACAAAGCTGCTGCTATCTGCCTGCATCTTCTCTCATTGCTACTTCCTTTGCTGCTGCTGCTGCTGCTGCTGCTGCTGCTGCTGCTGCTTCTCCCCTTGCTCCTCCTCCTGCTCCT